GGGGCTGCGCGCCGATCTCCGACTCGAACGACATCTTCATGGCCGAGGAGGACTTGGCCGGGGTGGCGACGGCGGCACCGTTGAAGGCGCTGGAACGGTAGGCACAGGGGTGGAGAGGGGGGAGCGTTAGAGGTGGGTGTTGACGTAGTGCAGTGGTCAAAATACAGTCGTTCTTAATTGCTTCGGAGTTTGATGCACACCAGATGCATGCTCCATACAGCACAGCATGCTTCCGAACATCAAGTGGGTTGTGCACGAACTAGGTGGAATATGACGACACTTCCGACATCCACCGAACAAATCTGCCCACTACGCGTACACACCAAGCATCGAATTCGTCTCCAATAACAGGCAGATATTGGAAAATGTGTTGAGTTGGCAGGACGGCAGGATTTGTTCAGTGCTCTCCGCCCATTCACATGGGGCAGGAGATATTCATCAAAGAGTACCGTAGATATCATTCACGCTGCCGTAGTCGTGGCATCCCGACAAAAGATAACGCATCAATGCACCGGACGACACACTTTACCCAACGCAAAAAATATGTGCGGTTTGCGGGCGACGTCAGACGTGTCATAGATTCTCTCGAAATTCCCGACTACGCATGAGGGCGCGCGACCACATCACACGAAAGCAGCGCGTCATCCGCCTCGCTACAATGCTTAGTAACCCGCCTGCGAGCCTCCGAAGAGACTCGTGGCTACACAGCACGCGACGCGCTATGCGAGAAGAGCAGTAGCGTTGTTTTCGGATTCGAGCGTTCTTTGACCGAGACAACATGTGCATCAAATATGAACCCTATTTTTGCCACACATAAGTCCTTCCGGAGCTATAGCGCGAACGGTGGGGTCTATATCCGAGTCGGGGGGTGCGCTCCTGCCCACTGTTGTGGACGTGATTCGCTACCGTTGCGCATCCATCTCGACAAAGGAGTTACTACAACAATTCAACATGAACACGGCAGCTAGACTTGTTGCTTTCTGGCGAGAAGGTGGACAAACATCGGTTGCCCAAAAGATCGAACGTCAAGTTGGTCAACAGGAGGCATCGCCCAGTTCGCTGGAGGCATCAGCAGGTGAACATCCGCAGGGATCGAGTCTCTCTCTCGGCAAGCATTGCATTCTACCGTTCCTGTCCCGTAGCGTACGAGATCCACCACGGCTGTTACGGGCACGCATGATTTGGATGCCTGAACAGCCTGACGAGCTCTTGTAGCGGATTACGCATCTTGAAGAACAAACCGGCCTCCACGATAGAGATCACTACGTCACTGACCTGGGGGCCACGAAGGCGTTGGCCGAGGCGGCGCAAGCGAGAGCCATGCACGCGGACTTCATCTTTCAAGTTTGGTGTTGAGGGGGACGAAGGAAGAGGATGTGAAGGACAGGCAAAGAGCGGAATGGCGAGCTTGGGGAAGGGCGAGGCGGCGGGAGATGAAGCGCGAAAAGAGGGAGTTCAAAAACACGCGTTCAGCAGGGGATCGGGAAAATACCGACGGCAAGATATGTGGGTCAAGCTGGGACGGGACGACGCCCCTCGAGAGTGGCACACACCCCTGGAAAGTCTAGATATACACGTTAGGACTCACCACCATCACCACCCCAACTCTAAAGATGAAGACTGCTTGCTTGGCCATGTGCGCTGCTGGAGCGCAGGCTTTCGTGGCACCCAGGTTTGTCCCGGAATTTTTTGTTTTAGGAGCAGATGGGTTGTTTTGGCCTCTCGCCCTCTTGTCCTATCTTGTGCATGTTCTAGCTGAGTAGCGTGTGTTTGCCGCAGGAAGTGGCACACGCTCGAGGTCGTGTGCCCAGCTTGTGTGCTCGGTCCAGCCCGAAGTGGAAACGCTCGTACATGCCTTGAGATTGGCTTTATGCCCGGCAGTGTGTCTCGATAGACACCACATGCTGGTGGAGGCTCTCATGACCCTGCGGCGTTTTGTATTGAAAAATGTACACGCGACCTCGATTGCAAGGCTCGATGCATACAACCAAATTTCGTTCATGTTTATCCGGTGAGTCAGCAGCTGTCAGCGTTGTCGTGAGCTGAAGACTTGTCCAACGAACATCTTCCTCCTTGGAGCTCTGATGCTATCCTTCATTGAAGTCGATTGCTGGCTGTACCCTGCGACGACCTGCGTCGTACCGGATGTTGAACAAACCCCAGCCCCGTGCTTGACCCGTTCTTCTTTATTCTCTACCTGTGAACTCGTCCACATGGCTTGGTGTAGCAACTTCACGCAGTTTTGCTACGTTAGAGGGGACATCCCTCTTGGTTCACTCGGTACGTCTAGTTCGGTCTGCGTGGTACTCGGTAGAGCCGATCTATCCACGGCTGATTGTCAGGACAAGCACGTTGTCAGCATTTTGGAGTTGATGTGCTGGCACATGCCGTGGCCTTGCCATGCAGCTGCAGTAGCCAGGACTCCACGGAGAACGGCGCAGTTTTCCTCTCGTTCAACAAGCGCACAACCTCTCACGAACACGCACAAACACGATAGCACTGCAATAGCACAAGGCAGCTGTGCTCGCCAACCAGCAGCGTGGACTGTAGGGCACCCATCCTGAATGGGTCGCCACTCGCGCCACTATATACAAGTATTACACGCAGCGACTGCTGTCCAGGCGACGTTCCCAATGGACGGTCTGCAGCAGTCGCCCCCCGCCTACCCGCTCATGCGCCTTCAGGCCAGCCCGGTTTCATATTCAACTCCAGCTGTCATATGCCAGGCTTGCGTGCCCTCACACCGAATGCCTGGACACAGGCTGTTTCTTCAAGCACAGCCCGAAACCGGCTTTGCAGCATCAAGTTGTGCCTGCCTGCCACGCGCTGGTGTGTCCTGTGGCAAACTTCACGTAATTTTCCACCGCCCAGTCGTCGCAGCGCTACGCACAGCGTGGTACCAAAGCTACCGCCTATTTTTGGTCGTCGACGGCGGTGTGTTGGCTGCACCGGAAACCATCTCAAAGAACCTTCCTGATGTTCTTTCATGTGTAAACACATGTACACACGCACCGTACATAAACACGTTGGGACCCAGTTACTGGTGTAGATATCAACGCAACGCAAGCCTCGCTCCGAACATCACGACGTCAAAGCTTCCAGAGTTGAGGATTCTTTGTATCGCCAGGGCAGTCGTAGCAGCACCGTCTCCTCGGCCGTCGTAGCCCCCAAAAAAGCGACCCGGCAATGGCCGGTTTGAGTAGCTGGGAACACCGCCGCACGGCCACTTTTGTGTTGATGTGGGCCGCGACAGCCCTCTTGCTTCTGATGCAGCGAGGCACGCCTTCGCATTCCAGATGGTTTACGGCAGAGGAGGCCTAGACCATTGGGGTAGAGCCGATGGATTCGGTGCCGGGTGCCGTGCCTCGTTCTTCAATACTATCATCTACGAAGTTATGTCTCGATTCGAGTGGTGCTGTTTCGCCTGTCTGCGATCAACCAAGGTCTCCAAAACACATCCTACCAACTTCAGTCGGTAGGGAGATTACTCTGCTGGTATATATAGAAAGTGCAGAAACAGCTCGACGATCCCAGGAAACAGCAGCAGCAGCGTCAGCGTCCTTCGCGAAAATCGCGGGGATGACCGAATCGCGATCTTCCGCCGTCAAATCGCGC